TCTGTCTGCTCGTCATGCCGCGTCTGGTTTGGAGATACCCTGAACAAGACAACATTTAGATCCTTAGAGATCTTACACTGGGGGGCGAGGAAGGTGTTCAGGTGCTGAGCCAAACCAACTTCCACGAATCTTCATATATACATTTAAGAACTCTTGACTCGTCGTAGAATCACCACATTGATCACATGGATATTGTTTATTCTTCGAGAACCTGAACCTTTAATGAACCAACCTTGAATTCACTGAACCTAATTGTTTATTAACTGGTAATTCACTATTTGTACATTGTTTCTAGAGATTCACCAGAAAAAAGAACAGAAACTCTAGATCAAGAATCAAGAAAAGAACAGGAAGAGTTTTTTAGAGAAAGGTTTGTACTCACGAATCTGGTGACACAAGGACTCAGCCAGCATCCAGGGTAAGTCCCCGAGCAGCTTGCTCAAGGGACTGCACAACGTCCAGATCTCCTTCTCGGTGAACAACGACCACCGATCTTGCACTACGGTGGGTTGTCCTAAAGGTCTTTTCACTAGGGTTGCGATATTCCAGAGTTGCAGACCTAGACAAACCATCTTTGGAAACATCAATCTCCTTCACTCGAGCAATCTTCCAAACAGGTTCTCCGAGACGGTTTTCGGAGTCAGACTTCAGAAAAATCACTATATCACCAGGTTTTAATTGTTCATTTGTCTTCTTCCACTTCGATGGTTGAGGAATAAAATCCACGAGTTTCTGGGTTCGCCATACTTTCCACCAGGACTCATACACACGATCCATCTGCTCGATCAGACGAGATGGAGAAGATACAGTTGGATATCCACTCAGAGCACGGCGATTGTTCCTACCTAGGAGGAGGCGGGAGGGCGTGATGAGGTCGACGTGGTCGAGGTTATCAGTTCTAGATCCAATACAAATCGGGAGATTGTTGAGTTCTGACGCAATCCACGAAAAACAGGTTTCCATGGAGAGAATATCCAGGCGGAGACCAGAGTAGACTTTATTGAGGAGGTTCTTTATCTCACGGATGGAGCGCTCCACCATGCCATTGGCATTGTGACCGGCCACAGGACAGGTAGAGAATTTAATTCCAACACGATGGTTCACAGCGAGGAAATCCAAGATATCCATTACAGAAAGCTCCATATTCTTGCAGGCAGACATCAGCTGGCTCCCTTCATCAATTCTAAGCTCCGAAGGATGACCATACCTCGCGGAGAAACGGGTGTAGGCTTGTATAAAGGCTGGAGTAGAATAGGATTGCATGACGAAGATAGCAACAGCACAACTTGCAGGATCCTTAAAAACACAGCCGTAGACTTTGACTGTACTTCTGTGTTGATGCTCACAGATGGCGGTCAGAGGCCCAAAGAGGTCCACCTGAGCTCGGTAGAATACGGGAGCTATGGTGAGACGAGAGTCATGGAGTTGCCCCATCTTAACTTCAATCAGCTTAGCTTTATGCTTGACACAGAACCGACATGCTTTAGTAACCTCCACAGCGAGATCACGGCCTCGGAGGATAAATGCAACGGAGCGAGACTCCAGGAGAGAGGTAGTGGAGCATCTGTGGTGGGTAGATTCTTCGTGAGAGTGGAGCATAATGGAGTATGCAACCGGACTATATCTGTCAACAATAGGGCGGACAAAGGATAACGGAGACAAATCCAGCATGGTATCTTCAGGGGTGTATATTTCTTGACCATCCAGGATTCTTCCAACATAGTAATAGATCTCATTCTTCACAACATAACAGCTCTTGTACTCCTTCTCTGGGGAGAACTTAATTACTTCCTTCATGGTTTTGAAGAAAAAATAGTTTTCACCGCGTTCTATCTCTTCATCGGTCAGGTGAGGACGATTTTGGAGGATAAATGGGTAGGCTGTAGAGGTCAGAGGCATCAGAGACGTCGGAGGAAACCAAGGAGGATTGAACTTTCTCTTGAAACATGAGATGAATCGGAGAATATAAGAGACAACTCGGACGGAGGATTCCCAGGATCTCTGGTTCGGGTTGAAGATATATTTACTAAACTCGTACCTCTCGGAGACTCGAGGAATCATCTCTGGGAGGTCGTTAAAGAGGACTTGTGTTTTAGTTTCTCGTGAAGCAACACGTTTTTCTTCACTGGAGAGGTTTATATCTTCAATGGTTTTCAGAGGCATTTCTTCAATTGGCAAAGACATCCATGCCTTACCATTTTGCCACTCGGAGTCAAGACCAATCTCGAAGGTTTCTGTGTGACGAGTACCAAGATCAGCTATGTTTAGAGCTCCGTCAATATGAAACCAACTCTTCAGATCAGAAAGTCTCCTGATTTCGATCACTGAATTCCTGACGGCGGTTTCCAGCGGTCTTTCATCATGGTTGAGCCAGTGGAGGACAATAGTTGAGTCAGTAACATAAATGGAGTCGGAGTACTGGGAGTTGAGGTTGAACTTGACGGAGTGGGCGAGGGAGGAGGACATGACAGCAGCACGGAGTTCACCACGAGGAATGGTATCATACCGAACAATCTTGCTTTTGGCAGTGAAGAGCTGGCAGTAATATTTTCCGGAGGTGAGGAGAACTCTGGTGTGAACGGAGGCAACGGCGATGGATTTGGAGGCGTCGGAGGAAACAATTAAACCAAGGTCCAGGGAGGCAGCGTCAGGGGGAATCACAGTTCTTCGGAATCTAATTTCTTTCAAACCTTGAGTATCCTGTAGATTTACCAACCACTTCTCCAGGTAGGAGTCAGGAACCTTGTCGTCCCAGTCGAGGTTCTCCAGGCAGAGGTCATGGAGGTCAAGCTTGAGACGGGAGGTGATGGGGGTGACGAGGCCAATAGGATCATAGATTCCAGCAACTTTACCAAGCAGGTTTCGTCTAGTAAAGTTTCGTCGGAGTGCATCCTTAATATCACCGGAGACAAGTTCTGGCAGGACTCCTCTCTTAGATTTTCCAAAATATAATTCCTTTATATCAATTCCAAGAAGATCTTGAGCAGGGTCCCAGACCATACCAAGTAAACCAACATGGATTCCATCTTTAGAGACTGCTTCAGAGGGAGGAGCACCAGCAAAAGTATAGGCTTTAACGGCGAGGTTGGCAGACTGGAGGACAAAATCGAGGCTGTTGGCTGTGGAGACTGCAACGTCGTGAGAGTCAGCTGCATGAATAATATCGTCAACATAACCATCCTGTTTTAACGCGAGAGCTCCGGGAGAATGTTCAGGAAATTTTTCCAAACAATAATCTGCAACACTTTCAAATCCAGAGAATAATTGATTTCCAGCAGACTTAACTCCGTAGATCAGCGTGCGCACAATCATAATTTCCACAGGGCAAGAGGGATCCAGATCAGGCTTCCAGAGGTACTGTTGGTATCGGTAGTTAGAGGGATCAAGCTCAACCTGGTTATATGCCATGGACACATCACAAGTAACTCCACCAGGTTTAGCTCGGAACCGTTGAACAGAGTTTGGGATTTTTGGAAGGTGGTTTGTCCCTTTAGCCAGGATATTATTTAAAGATTCTCCACCAGGAGTTTTGCTGGAGGCATCAAAAACCATCCTGCAGGGAGTAGAGATTGAGGAGGAATTCCACACAGCCCTCCAAGGAATAATATATCCAGAATCAAAAGGGTCTAAAACCAGAGCTTGTTCATCAGGGGGTAGTTTGGAGAGGGGGAGGACATACCCATGTGACCGTAGTTTCTCGTGAGAGGCAAGGACATCAGCTCGAGCTTGGTCATCTTTGGCTAAATTCCGGACTTGTGAATCCAATATCTTCTCAGCAGTATAACGGTTTGGTTTCAAGTTTTCTCCGGGAGGGGCTGTAAAAGGCGACGAGCTTCCTTTTCTCAGGGATATACTTAACACTGAGATCAATGAGGTACTGCTCTTGCTCCTCCTTGAGAGACGCATTCTCCAGAGTCTCCCCTTGTCTGCACCGGGAGCAATTTCTACAACGAACACAACGATAAGGAACCTCAGTTCCTAACATTTCAGATTCACAAAATCTTGAAACCTCTCGTCGTAGGCCATAAGCAGAGGATTCTATATCCCAATCAACAGGAATAATCCAGTTTTCCAGGTCTCCATGTTTTTCACAATGTATTGCAGGGCAATCTTCAAAATATTCTTCCTCAGGTCCCAGGAGATCCTCGTCAACATCATCCAGGTCAGGTACATCAGGTAGGTGTTGGACGGGGTGGTAGACATGATGAAGAGTTTGAGATACACATCGGAGAGCTTGAAATTCAGCGGAGAAAAAGGAGGTCACACCAAGAAATCCAACCAGGTCGGTTGCATTACGCCAAGCAGGGTGAGGGCCTCCGAGGACGGTGAGTTCATTGCGGGGAGCAGCTATCTGGCTTCTATGGATACCAAGGCCGCAGGGTAGGGTGAAGATAGGGATCGGAAAGTACTGCAAATAACGGATACCAATCATGATTCCAACTTCATCACCTCCAATAGTTTTTGGAGCGGGAGCTAGAGGTTTTTTATCAGAGGATAGTTGTTTATATTCATTCTGGATGCTTTTCCATGCATCAGCAATAGGCCAGACAGGAAACTGGGTTGTCACATGAGGCATACGTAGGGCAGTTAGTGTAGCACGTTCACCAGGTTCAGCAAGATCTAGAAGGAATTGTTCATCACCTCCTTCCAGTCTGACAGTTTTTCCAGCAGCAACATTGAGAGTTGTGGGTCCAGGTCTCACACATACACTATTTAATACTTGAGCAGCTTCATCAGAGATTGCACTTCCCATGCAACCAGAATCGTAGAAAATAAGCAACTTCCTGTCGTTCACCACGTGATCCTGCAGCATGAAGATAGCAGGGTTATTAACATCATCTCGAGGTTTACGTTTATTTTTGGAGGCGGAGCTAGACAAGGCGGAGGCGGTGTTGTTGGAGGGATTGATGAAGTAGGAGTTGGCGAGGTTGAAAAAGAACGAGGCACCAGGAGGGAGTTGGGCAGGGTCGAGTTTCTTCAGGAAATCATCTTGGATCAGCTTATTATTGTCCACATGCCATCTGCAGAGTGTAATATGATACTGACGATTTTTTGCACGAAGTGCACACTTGCCCAGAGTACAAACAAATTCGCTCTGGCAGTGGGCTTCATGACGTTTTTCCCATTGAGCACGAGCACTGAAATCAATCTCTGCGTCCATTCTTAAGCATCTATAGCAGGATTGCATTTTCTTCGCAACATCAACCCTATTAGTCAGGATATCAGCATCAATAAAGTTTTTACAGTAGAAAACATGGGTGTGCTGACCACTACAGACTTTGCAAGGCTTCATAGCAGGGGCGGAGTAGGCTGGAGAAATAAATACCCCGTCACGCTTAGTCTGAGACTTCTTAGGTTTATTGGAGGCAGAGCTAGACGAGGCGGAGGCTGGAGCAGATGAGGCGGAGGGCGGAGCAGCAGAGGCGGAGGTATAATTCTTCGTCTTTGGCGGAGGTTTAGTGGCGGAGGATGACCCAGAAGCTAGCTTTTTGCTTTCCATCTTCTTCTTGTAGTATTTATCAGGATCAACTCCGTGATCAAGTTGAAGAGTATGTTTGTTGTTGAACCTGACAACCATTTGATCAAGGAACTCCAGAACCATCTCAAAAACCTTCTTCTTAGGGATTCTCTCAGCGATCGACTCAGTCTCTTCGTAGAATTTATCAAGCTGGTCCGGAGGGAAACATTCAAGAATCTCAGAGACAACAGGATGATGATACAGGTTTTCATACATGTCGTGCCTCTGAGACAGGTTTCGAAGATACACAAGCTGAGACCTAACTTCGATGGACCATTTTCGTTTTTTCTCGTTGGAACCGATGCAGGCCCCGAGACGGCGGATCTCCTCAACTCAGTACACAAAAAGATCAGAGGCATTTCCATAGCATTCTTTCAGGTGAGAAAAAACTTCATCTAGCGTTGTCATATGTCGACAAGCTGCCTTTGCTTGACCAACAAGGCTCTGTCTGATGAGGATACGCAGTTGATCAATCTTGGATACTGATCTCATGGCTACCCAGGCATCCCAGTCTTCACGGTAGGTATAATAATCATACTTCTCAGTTTGTTCTCCTGAGAATGTTGGGAATTTTAGATCTGTAGATTTGAAACCACTCGAAATACCATATTCATCCTTATGATTTTGAATGGATTCAACCAGCTCATCTTCCTTCTTCTCCAGGTCCCATAGGAGGTCTTCAATCTTTGAACTTTTCTCCTCTAGATCACAATCCAGGGCTTGGTTGATGATCTCGTTGGCCTTCTTCTTCATGGCTTCGACCTCTCTGTAGGCATTCTTGGCTCGATCCTGGAGTGTTTGGAAACCCTGTTGAGTTTCAGGAGATTCCAACGCCAAATCTACCAGTTTATCAATCAATTCTTGCAACTTGCCAACCATAGGTTCGGCGTACTTCTCCACACGCTGCACCTTAGCCTTGGTGGCGGCGGAGGAGGACGAACCAGAGGCACTGGAGACGTTGAGGGAAGCAGGTGGGGTTGACTCAGCTGCTCTGTCTTCAAGTTTTCGGATCTCTTCAAATGCAAGGTTTACAAATGAGATGAACCCTGTCCTCGCAGTACCAGCCTTAGTACGGAGGTCCTGGAGGTCTTCATATAGCTCACTGTCAATCTGAGCTTGAAGAATTTCTTCTTTGAAGGTTTTAGCCCGCTCAACAGCTTGCTTCAGCTCACTGATTGGAACTTTAGAGGGGTCTAAATTTTTGAAGTCTTCTTCCCAGGTGGAGACAGCAATTTGTAGGATTCTTTTTTGCTTTCTCCGGTCCACGCTGGAGGCTTGAGGGTTAGGCTCCATGTCGTAGATGAACTGAAGAATATCCTTTGCAGCCGGAGACAATTCAAACTCCTCAGCATCCCAGTTTAACTCTTCAGGAACAAGGGTACCCGAGCTCTGGGAATCATTATCGAGATCATCCAGCAGTGGAACATCGAACTGAGTTGAAGTTGATGATCGCGATTCACGGGATCTTATCCTACTACTACGTCCAGGGGGAGGTGATTTCGGATGCGGTATAAGTGGAGGACACTATCATCAGGTTTTGTAGGAGAACCAAGGATCCGTTCGTCATCTACAGGACCCGAAGGCCGAGGGTTCAACCTAGCAGCAGGTTTAGGTTTCGGACCAGGGCGGAGAACTGGAGAGGACTCAGGGATCAGAGAGGATTCAGAGACCGGGTTTGGAGAAACCTCTCTTTCTAACGAACCTCGTGTAGAACTGCTGAATCTTGTAGGCCTCGAGTTCTTTGCAACAGGTTTTCCTCTACTTAAAGATCTCGACTGTCTGTAGATACAGCCGCGAGACAGGAGACGAGCTCTCGAGGTAGAGCTACCGACTGGAGTATCAAACTTCTCCGGAGATCTGGACTCAGGTTCCTCAGCTAGAACAGGTTGGAGATCCTGGTCGAAGCCTTGTATTGGAGGAGAATCCAGGACTGCAGGCATATGCTTACGTGCGAGGTTAGGTAGAGCGCTTAAAGGGTTAAGTGGCTTAGTTAGCACCACTTATCACTTTTTCACCTTTTTCACTGTGCTCTAGGGCCAACTGGGAGCAGGATACGTACCCAGGAGGAGCTGGTAGGAGGCTTACAAACATAATGGACGAGCATCCAATATACCCTGGCGCACCTCTTTAATGCACGGACAAGTTTATTCAAGCATGTATTTCAGGAACAGGAGTTTCATACAGCTCTAGTCGTGAACTGAAAAACAATAATATTCAGTTCCGACTAGTATAAATCTTTATATAGTATAAAATAAGTATAATATTCGTGATAATAATAAAAGAATTTGTACAATTTAAGCCATTTGAGTTGCCCAGGAATTACGTTTATGAATGATAAATAAAATACACTTACAAAGTTGAACTGGCCAGGGGGTTCGTAGCCATAGATAGATCGCAGGATAGATCGCTAAGAGTTTCCAAGTAGATTTGAGGTTGGATCGCTAGCTCTGCAGTCAGGTAGGTAAGTCCAGGACGAGACTAAAAAGGTATGGTTAGATTCAGCTCCTTTAGTGTTTCTTCGAATCCTTAGTTTAAGTAACAGTTTAATCACACTAAATACAGGGACACATATGAAGTAATATAGTACCTATCAATGATCCGAAGGTTACGCCTAGGATCAGTCTGTCCAGTAGAGGCTTTGGGAGAGTAGGTACAGTTTATGGTCCGCTGCTAGGTGGAGGTCGTGAAGGAGTTCATCGACCACACAGACTTGGGCTAAATAGGTTAATATTAGCACAAGTTTATCATACGACTCGAGAGTTTATCATGTTATTCACCTTTATAATAACAGATGGCTGCACCAGTGGGTGAGGGAAGAGGTAGGTCTCGAGAAGATGATCCAGTACAAGCTCTATAGGTCCGTCATGCTTGAGCTGGAGGAGGGTATCACGACAAGGTTCCAAGTAGGGTCTGTCGAGCACATCATCCAGAACACAGATGCTCTGGAGTGTGAGAAGATTGTGAAGCTATTGAGTAGCAACGAGGTTCAGTTTACTCCTAACATAATTCTTTGTCAGGATAAATAATATGATACTGTTACGGTTTAAAGGTTTAGGTTCAAAGGTTCAAAGGTTCATTTTCACTAAATGTTCACCTGGAATATATATCCTTAGGCTGAGCCTTACGAGAGGAACGTGGAGGAGGTGACGTGTTCCCCAAGCATCGGCTTCATGATGAGTAGATTCAGGGTGGTGGAGTTGATCAGAAAGGTTTACTCAGAGATATCTAGGGTTCCATATATAAACCATCTGTATAACGAAGATTTGGAGCAATCGATAAATCATGACGAGAAATATTTAAACTTTAGACAGATGTTTTATTGACCTTGATTAAACACAACCTGGGCAACTATATGAGGTTTAGAATAGGAAAATCAACCCATTCTAATTCTGAAAGTAAAATATAAGGTTAAATCTTCTTTAAAAGGAAAAAAGCTGGCTAGGCTTTAACTGCTTATTAGATATAAAACTTTGAGTTTCCGATATAAAACTTTTACATATATTCGATTAAATGAGAATATATTAAGTTAAATGAGAATAAATATAAGCTCAAAAGGTTTTAGTGACTTGTAAAGTCTAGAGTATATCAACCATTCACGTTTACATTGTTTATAAGTTAAGATAAGAGCTCCAAGAATTCAGCTGACTGTCTTCTCTTCTGGGGAGTCTCTGTCTGCTCGTCATGCCGCGTCTGGTTTGGAGATACCCTGAACAAGACGACATTTAGATCCTTAGAGATCTTACACAGAGAATTAACTGGGAAAATGCAGTTTTTCTAATTTTCTTTTGCATTTATTTTACATTAATATTAAAAGAAAACCAAATAAATATATATGCTGGTTTCATATTTTGTTCACTATATTTTAGTATTTGATAATTTACATTTTTACAATATACTCTATTGCCTTTCACTTTCTAAACGATGATTTTCCGTTATAACCATTAATCAAATGATGTGTTTTTTATTTATATAGTTAACTTTACATAGTTGATTTAACAGCTTGAAAATTTAGAAACTATATTAATATACTGGCTCTACTGCATATTATTTGTGAACATTTACATGAAATAAACACTTTGAACCCCCTTTCAGGCTCAAAGGTGCTGACAAAATTCATACCGAGGGATAGTTTAATTTCCTTTCTATTCTAATCTCTATTCTGTGTTAATAATGTTCATTCTTATGATCCATTAAAATAGAAAAGTTTTGATTTCCCTGAAGTGATTTGTATTGTTTATTTGAACTTATACTTATTAAAAGCAGTAAGTGCTGCACTATTTGTATTTCATATAATATCCTTCATATATTTTTCAGACAGAATGGCAGAGAATGTGAATAAAAAATTGGATGTCAAGGAATCTGAGATAATCTCTACTGTAGAGTAGACATGTTTTGTAGATATACCTGAAGATGAAATAAAGCTGGAAAATACAAAAATACAAGGTAATCATGACAAGTTTACATTTTCTTGCATTCATTCCGCTTCCTTTGATTTAATTCTTGGTAAAGTACTGAACTTTCCATTTAAAGAACTATAAGGGGAGGGTTAAAATTGATTGGAAATTCCATTGACAGTAAAATATATTGAAATTTCCCATTCTTTTTTATTTAGATTTTGACTTGATTGCTTTTGTAATAATATTAAAAATAATTGTCTCAATAATTTTGTCGCTTTTAGAAGGTATTGACTAATGAGGGCAACTGTCAAATCTTAATTTTATTTCTCTGAATTTGTAAATTAAATTAGTGTTTGTCATGTATGCAATTGAAAGAATGCTGGGTTGGTCTAAAAACTTTGCTTAATTTTTTAGAAGATGATTTAGCCCTGCAATATAAAAAATTTATTTTTTCTGTTCAGCTATTGTCGATCAGATGACAAAATTGGACGCCATAAGCTTTCTTTATGAGTCTGTTGCTTGTCACAGCCTAAATATATCATTTGCAAACTCAAACTTAATCCATTTTTGCATGTTCTAGAGGTTTGAAAACATCAAAAAGTTAAAGGAGGGTATTGTATAAAGACCTCTTACAAACTAATCAATTGCTTTAAAACTTGTTATGCAGCATCTTATATTGTTAAACTTAAACCAAATTAAAAGGCTGAGACGTCTAAAAGTAATAAAATCAAGCAAAATGTATTATCTGTTATGTTGCAAAAATCTTAATTTTAATATATTTGCCAGATTAGCAAAAAAAACTTAAAAGTATAAATAATTAATATTTATATTTAACTTTTCAGAAGAAGACCTGGAATACTTGGATCCTTTGCAGTCTGAACCAAAGAAAGTCAAGACGATTATATACTCATATCCATGTTCTCAATGCGAATATTTTTCAACAACAACAAGTAGTCTGCAGAGACATGTTAAGATTAAGCATGAAGGAGTAAGATATCCGTGCCCTACATGTGATTATGCTACAACTACCGCAAATAATCTGAAGAAACATGTTGAAAGTAAACACGAAGTATTGAGGTATCCTTGATCTCACTGTGAATATTCTGCAACTACAGGCTTAACATCACCAGGAACACTCAATAGCTTCCAACTCCAAAGGACTCTCGAACCTGAAATCCAGCTCCTCTTGGAAAGGAACAGCTCTGGGATCTCGCGGACTCCCTGCTCATCACAGAACTAGGACCAGGGAGAGGTTCATCAGAACAAGGAGCATCCACTGAGGGAACAACAGGCTTCTCCTGGTTAGACAGCTAGATCACTTTCCTATGATCCAAGTCAGCCCCACACACCCCATTCTCCAGTACAACCCAGAGTTCCAGAGATTATGTGGTTTTCCAGATTGAATGGTAGATATTTGTGAGAACCAATCTACTCTGAAGAAACCGGAGCTGTCTTTAATCAATCAGTCTGGAGATATCGGAGATATTTTCAAATGAATCAATTTACTATGGAGAGATCAGAGCTGTGTTCAACCAATCAATCTACTCCGAAGAAACCAGAGCTGTCTTTAATCAATCTACTCTGGAGATATTGGAGCTGTGTTCAATCAATCAATTTACTCTGATAGTTTAGATGTCGTCATTATTATGTTAAAGAAAAGTTTAAATGTCGTCGTACTTCAGCTGATCAGCTGTTCACGGCATCTTTTCCTATAAACCAGCTGATTTATTTCAGCATAAAGTGTTAAATCTTTACTTCAGGCAACTTATCTAAATAAATCTTTACTTCAGGCAACTTATCTAAATCTTTTGAAGATCTTTTGATGCATTTTATTCTTAATCCTGATGAACTGAATATTCGTAAATATTGACTTTAATATTTTTGCATATTAATGTAATAAATCCACCCTTATGAATAAAAACTTAACTTAATTAACAAATTTTTGTAAAACATAGCTGAAATTAACAAAAATTGTTCATTGGAACTTTAGTAAATAGCGTCATATCTTTTTTTTTATTTTTCATACTGAATCTAATTTTCAGACATAGAATGGCAGAGACTCAGACAGAAGAATTAGGTTTAGAAGAAATTGTGATAAAAGAAGAGATAGACTCCATCAAGGAAGAAATTCTTCCATCCTCTACTGTAGATGATACATGTTCTGTGGATACAGATATGAAAGGTAAACTCAAAAATAATTGAAAGCTTTACATTTTCCTACAAACTATGAAATTTTTTACAAAAATTAATATTGAATTAAAAATTAACAAAATTCAACCCCCCCCCCCCATTATACTAAAAAATGGGTAACACTTCAAAATAAATTATTTTGTGAGAAAAGTTTATCTTACTGAAAAAGTATTATTTTTATCTCTCAAAGTGTCAAAAGAATAAATCTTGAGTTGAGGAGGTGAGAAAGAGCAAACCAATGTTTTTTACTAGGTGTAAAAGATGTTGAAAACAGTAAACCTGTATTTGATCCTGATTTTCACACCGAGCTAATCATTAAAGATGAATTTGAGGATTGTAATTTAGGTAATATGGACATTTATATTTTAATCAAAAACAAATACCCTTAAATTATAAATAATAGATGATTTTTAAAAATATTATTAATTTTATTTAATTCCAATGGAAGTGGTGCAGTGAGATAGGGTCTACCCTAATCTTTCTCCAGATTGATAGAGAAACTATTTTATTTATTTATTTAATTTAAAGTTTCTTGAAATCCATCTTCTTAAGTAAAATTATTGTTTAAATAAATGAGAACTTTTTAGATTTTAAAGTTACAAAAATTTAGATTATTGGTTACTTTACAGTTTTTAATATTGGTTTTGCAGAAAAAAAAACATTTTTAATATTATTAAATAATATTTTCGCTGTTCAGGTGAAAACATGGATGTCAGATTTAAAAATTCTAAGTCAAAACCAAACCAAAACAAGAAGCGTAACGTGGAATACACTTGTAATGAGTGTGAGTATGTTGCAACTCAAGCAGGCAATCTAAAATACCACATCAAAAGTAAACATAAAGGAGTTAGATATCCATGTTCTCAATGTAAATATGCTGCAACTACGCCAAATGCTCTGAAGAAACATGTTGAAAGTAAACATGAAGGAGTTAGATATCCTTGTTTGCATTGTGAATTTGCTGCAACTACAGCAAGTTACCTGAAGATACATGTTGAAGGTAAACACGAAGGAGTGAGATATCCATGCTCTCAATGTGAGCATGCTGCAACTTCAGCCGGTAACCTGAAAATGCATGTTGAATGTAAACATGAAGGTGTGAGATATCTTTGTCTTGAATGTGAGTTTTCTTCAACTAGAGTAAATCTACTAAAGAAACATGTAAAAAATAAACATAAATGAGTGAGATATCCTTGTCCCAAATGTAAGTTTACTGCATCTACAGCAAGCTACCTGAAGAAACACTTAAAAAATAAACATAAATGAGTGAGATATCCTTGA